GTGTTTCTTAGTCTATTCATTTGGTGGATTGCATGGATTTTTTAAAAATTTTTATTTATTTATGATAGTCACACACAGAGAGAGAGAGAGAGAGAGAGAGAGGCAGAGACACAGGCAGAGGGAGAAGCAGGCCCCATGCACTGGGAGCCCAATGTGGGATTCGATCCCGGATCTCCAGGATCGCGCCCTGGGCCAAAGGCAGGCGCCAAACCGCTGCGCCACCCAGGGATCCCGCATGGATTTTTTTTTTAATATTGAAAGATCCTTGTATTTCTGGGATGAACCCTACTGGGTCTGGATGTATCATCCTTTTTATATACGGTTGGGTTCAATTTGTTAATATTGTAGAAGGATTTTTGTGTTTATGTTCATGAAATACTGGTCTATAGTTTTCATTTCTTTTACTGTCTTTGTCTAAATTTGGTATTAGGGTGATGATGACCTCAAAAAATAAGTTGGGAAGTGTCCCTTATTATTCTATTTTATGGAAGAGAATGTATAGAATTGGTGATATTTCTTTCTTAAATGTTTGGTAGAATTCATGAGTGAAACCATCCTAGCCAGGTGTTTTCTTTTTTGAAATTATTTTTACTATTATTTATTTAATAGGTTTGGGACTATTATTTATAATAATGATATTAATTATTATAAATATTCACATTTACTTTTTCTTGAGTAAGTTTTGGTAGTTTGTGTCTTGATTAGTCTTCTTAGGCCACCATAACAATATGGGTGCTTAAAGAATGGAAATTTATTTTCTCACAGTTCTGGAGGCTTAGAAGTCCAAGATCAAGGCAGCAGCCAATTTGGTTCCTGGTGAGAGTTCTCTTCCTGGTTTGTAGATGGCCACTTTCTTACTATGTCCTCATGAGAGAAAGAGGGTTGGGGATGGGGGGCTATCACTGGAAAATATCACTACTCTTCCTTTTTCATAATAAGGATATCGGTTTATTTAGGCCATGGCTCTACCCTCATGACCTCATTTATTCACCTCCTTAAAGACCTTAACTCCAATACAGTAATATGAGGGTGGATTAGGGCTTCAACATGAATTTGGGGGGAGGGGAACAATTTGGTCTATAGTAGCATATTGTAGGAATTGGTCCATTTCATCTAAATTATCAAATTTGGGCAGCCCAGGTGGCTCAGCGGTTTAGTGCCACCTTCAGCCCAGGGCATGATCCTGGAGATCCAGGATTGAGTCCTGTGTTGGGCTCCCTGCATGGAGCCTGCTTCTCCCTCTGCCTGTGTCTCTGCTTCTCTCTCTCTGTGTGTGTGTCTCTCATGAGTACATAAATAAAATCTTTAAAAAATTATCAAATTTATGGGCATAAAGCTGTTTCTGGTATTCCTCTTATTCCCCCTTTAGTATCTGCAGGATCAGTGATAAAGATTCTTGACATTAGTAATTTGTCTTTTTTCCCTTTCCTTGGTTAGCCTGGCTAGAGACTTACCATTTTATTGATATTGTTAAACAAACAGCTTTGGGTTTATTGATATTCTTGGGGTTTCTTTTTAAAGATTTTATTTATTTATTCATGAGAGAGAGAGAGAGAGAGAGAGAGAGAGAGAGAGAGGCAGAGACACTGGCAGAGGGAGAAGCAGGCTCCATGCAGGGAGCCCGATATGGGACCCAATACCGGGTCTCCAGGATCAGGCCCTGGGCCAAAGGCGGCGCTAAACCTCTGAGCCACCAGGACTGCCCCTATTCTTGGTTTTTTTAATCCCTATTTTCAATATCATGGATTTCTGCTCTAATTTTTACTATTGCTTTCCTTTTGCTTGCATTGGGTTTAATTTGCTCTTCTTTATCTAATTTCCTAATGTACAAGTATAGGTAATTGATTTTAGACCTTTATTCTTTTCTAGTATATGCATTTCTTGTTACATATTTCCCTCCAACCACTGCTTTAGTTACTTACCATAAATTTTGATAAGCTGTATATTCATTTTCACTCAGTTTGAAATATTTTTTAACTTTGAGACTTTATACTTATGCGTTTTTTGGGAAGTGTACAGCTTAATTTCTAAATATTGGAGACTTTTCCAACTATCTCTCTGTTATTGATTTTTAGTTGATTCCATTGTGGTCAGAGTACATACTCTATGTTTTTAGACCTTTTTCAACTTATTGAGATTTTTTTAATGGCCCAGAATGTGGTCTATCTTGGTGGATATTTCATTTACATTTCAGAACAATGTGTACTTTACTTTTGCTGGATGGATTGTTCTATAAATGTCAAATAGGTCAAGTTGGTTGATAGTGCTCTTCAGGTTATTTATATCCTTACTGATTTTCTCCCTGCTTAATCTATCAAAAACTGAGGGGGAGGTTGTAAAGTCTCCAAGGAAAATTGTGGTTTTTTTTATTTCTACTTTTATCTCTATCAGTTTTTGCTTCATGTAATTTGATGGTTTGTTGTTAGATGCTACATTTTTAGGATTGTTACATGTTCTCTAAAGAACTGACCCCTTTATCACTATGCCATGTGCTTCTTTATCCCTAATAATCCTCCTTGTTCTGAAGACTGCTTTGTCTGAAATATAGCTACTAATGGTTTGATTGTTACTTGCATGGTGGTTCTTTCTCCATCCCTTGATATTGTCCCACAGATTCTGAATACTGGGTGTATTTTTGTTTTCTCTCTCTGTCTCTCTCTTGCATTTCAGTTTGGGTAATTTCTATTGATCTATCTTTTACATTTACTGATTCTATCCTTGAATGTGTGAAGTCTACTGAAGAGCCCATTAAAGTCATTCTTCAATTCTGTTACCATGATTCTGATTTTAAAAAATTCTCTCATATTTTCCATTACTCTGCTGACATTATCCACGTGGTCTTTCATTTTGTCTACCTTCTCCATCTGAATCCTTAACATATTAATCATAGTTATTTTAATTTCCTGACCAATAATTTTCACACCTGTGTCACATGTGAATCTAGTTCTTTTTTTAAAAAAGATTTTATTTATTCATGAGAGAGAGAGAGGCAGAGACACAGGCAGAGGGAGAAGCAGGCAGGGAGCCCGACATGGGACTTGATCCCGTGTCTCCAGGATCAGGCCGTGGGCTGAAGGCGGCGCTAAACTGCTGAGCCACCGGGGCTGCCCGTGAATCTTGTTCTGATGGTGCTTTGTCTCTTCACATTGTTACTTGTTGCCTTTTAACATGCTTTTTAATTTTGTTGTTTAAAGGCACACGATATATAAAGCAATAGACACTAAGGTAAATAGGACTTTAGGGTGAGTATTTATACCAATCTGGCCACGTGATGGGCTATGTCTGGTGTTTGTTGTCTCTATGGCTACCAAAGGCATTAAATTCCTTGTTTTTGTCTCCCTTCTTGGCCTTGGCCCTTATCTTTGTGCTGCACCTCAGAAACAGTCTGTATCTGGCAGCTCTCCCAGCTGTAATCCACCGTTATTTTAACTGCAGGCTTATTAGCTGGTTCTAATGTTTGGGGGAGATGGGCATTATCTAATACTCAGATTAAGTCTCAGTCTTTGGAGTGAACAGTGGGCCTATGTCTTCGGAGTATAGCCTTCACAGTTGTTTTTGTCCCTTTCCAGGGTTATGGGTTGAACTGTATTCCCCCAAAATATGTTGAAGTCCTAATCCCTAGTACCTGTGAATGAAACTATTTGGAAATAGGGTCATATGGAGTAGAGTGGGCCCTAAATTCAACAACTGGTATCCTTATAAGGAAAGATATGTTTGAAGACACAGAGGAGACACAGTGAAGAAGACATGTGATGACAGAGGCAGAGAGTGGAGTCATATTGGCATGTCAAGAAACACCAAGGTTGTCAGCAGCCACCAGAATCTAGAAGAGCCAAGAAAGAGCCATTGAAGGGAATATATCAATGCCTTGATTTCTGACTTCTAGCTTCCAGAACTCTGAAAAAATAAATTCATGTTGTTCTAAGCCAACTAGTTTATGGTAATTGGTTATAGCAGTGTTAGGAAACTAATACACAGGGGTAAAGCTTTTTTCTCACTCTTCCATCTAATATTTATCTGGCTATATCATTCCCAGTCTATGCATTTGAAGCCCACTTCCCTATATACTGAGGCTTTCTTTTCTTTCTTTTTTCCCCCTTATATGAAATAGGGAGACAGAGTAGAAGTAGAGTAGAACAATGTTACCTTCCCCTTGTTGGGATGAGATTTTACTGTCTCCTTAATATTATTTTTGTCTTTCTTGCAACCTGTAGGATAATCTTGGAAATAAATAGCTAGAAGTCCTCACAACTCTACAGAAACTATTTTCAGTCCAATAAGAACTGATATTAAACGGCAATGTAAATAAATTGAATACCTGAACTGTATACTTAAGCAATGGATAAGAAGGGGCACCTGGGTGGCTCCAGTTAAGTGGCTGACTCTTCAGCTCAGGTCATGATCTCAGGGTCCTGGGATAGAGCCCCATCTCAGGTTCCATGTTCAGCAGGGAATCTGCTTCAGATTCTCTCTCTCCCTCTCCCTCGGCCCTCTCCCTAACTAACTCATTCTCTCTCAAACAAATGAATCTTTTTAAAAATGAGTAAGATGTAAAATTTCATTTTTGGGGGATATATATAATAGACTAGTACTCAGCTATGGAAAAGAATGAAACCTTGCCATTTGCAATGACATAGATGGAGCTAGAGAGTGTTGTGCTAAGTGAAATAAGTCAGAGAAAGACAAATACCATATGATTTCACTCATATGTTCAATTTAAGAAACAAATGAACAGGGGGTGGGGGAAAGAGAGACAAACCAAGAAACAGACTCTTAACTATGGAGAACACACTGATGGTCACCAGAGGGAAGATGGGGGGGGGGAAGGGTAAACTAGGTGATGGGGTTTAAGGAGGACACTTGTGATGAATACTGGGTATTGTAGGGAAGTGTTGAAGCACTATATTGGACACCTGAAGTTAATAGTACACTATATGTTAAATAACTGGAATGAAAATAATAACTTAAAAAAATAAAATATCTGTCTCCACATATCTTACCAAAATGATCTTCATGTTGCTGCCAAGAACAATTCAGAGACTTGGAGGCTGTATGGTGCCACTGGATGGCTAATGGAAACAAGCTTTTGAAACTGGGCTGTTGGAAAGCCCAATATGTGACTCCTCCCCTCAGCAGGTTTTGGAGCTTGCTTTGTAGGTGGGATAGTCTGTGGCACCACATCCTAGAAAAGATGACAATAAGAAGAGAGAGAGAGTTAGTAATAGTACTAAATAACTTTTATGAGGTTGTAGGAATATTACAGATGTAACTATATAAAAAGGATAGATTTAATTATCCTAACTATAGAGGATTAAACAAAGGAAATATTCTGAAAAGCTGAGCACAAGTGGTCTATAACTATTATTTTCATTTTCTCACCAGTATTCTTATTTTATGCCTTGTAATCTTGCTTCTATCATACTGTTGAACTGAAGTAGTTCTTTAAAACTTCACTAATTTTAACCTTCCAACCACATATAAGAATTGCACTTGAGTCCTCATCATTCTCAGTCTCTCCACTGTGACACTACTGATTACTCTCACCTCACTCCTTGAAACGTCTTTTCCCACTGATTTTGTGTGATTGTGAGCAAGTTAAACTCTCAGTGACCCTGGTTTCCTGTTTTGTAAAATGAGAATAATAATAATACTCATTTCATGGATTTCCTATGAAGACTAAAGTACTTAGAACTGTGTCTGTCCCATAGTAAGCCCTATATATGTTGGCTGCTATTATTATCATTATTATAATAGTTATTGTTAGGGAGAAAATATATCTGTTGGTAAAAGTACCTTGATAAACCTGCTTAGAGTTGGAGACTCCCTCTGTATCATGGTTTCAGAAAAATTAAAAAATATTTTTAAAGATTCTATTTATTTATTTATGAGAGAGAGACAGAGACATAGGCAGAGGGAGAAGCAGACTCCCCATGGGGAGCCCAATGTGGGACTCCATCCCAGGACCCCAGGATCATGACCTGAGCAGAAGGCAGATGCTCAACCACTGGGCCACCCAAGTTCCCCAGGAAAATAAAAATCTTCATTTACATAATACATTTAAAAGTATTAATTTGTCCCATGGGAAAAGAAGAAGAAAGCCATGCAACTGCAGAGAAGCCATACAATGCTTGATGTGAATCTTCTCAACAACCCCTATGGTCACTAAACCCATACAATGATTATTTTCAGTACATATATGTATGTTTGCGCATGTGTGTGTGTGCGCGCGCGCGCGCGTGTGTGTGTGTGTGGTATAAACTGAAGGGACTGAATTTCATGTTGATGTGAGATGACACCAATCATATATGCAAAGGCCATAGCTAGAGACGTAACCGAATATGCTGATGACTTGGGGAGGGTTCCAAAATAATAAGCTAGGAAATCAAGAGCTAAAGTCAAGTTTATTGAGATTTAATGGGTGCAGGTAAGGAGCAGAGCATAGAGAGGCCTCTGTGATATCTGGGTCACATTAATGTTTTCCACTATCTATTTCCCAACTTCTTACCTATAGGTATTATCTAAAACAGAGGCTAGTAAATTATGGCCCATGCCTATTTCTATATGGTCTAAGAATGGATATTACAATGGCTAATTCTAAGAATGGATATTCTAGGAATGGATATTACATTTTACAGGATTGTAAACAAAAACAAAAAAGAATATGAGGCCAAGACCATATGTGGCCTGCAAAGTCTGTAATATTTGCTATTTGGTACTTCAAAGTACAATTTTTCCAACCCCTGGTCTAACGCTCAATTCTTAATCAAATACTCTTCTCCTTTACATTGAACTACTCCCCCCTCCCAAACCACCCTTCAGTAAGTATGTTTATTCATTTCTTCATTATTTCACCCAATAAATATTAGCATGTCTATAACAGGTACTTTCTTAAGTACTGGGAAAATAAACATAAATAAGTCTGCAATCCCAGGCACCATTCAAGAAGCTCACAATGTATTGGGGAACAAAGACAGACAAAGGGTGATAGCTACTACTACTTATGATATCTTTAAACACACTGAAAAAGTGCAAAGGAGAAAGCACGTAATTATGTCTGGTAAAACCAGGAGGATTTCACGTGATCTGTTATTTGTAGTACTGTATTATTGTTTTGTATTTACTTACAAAATGAGATTTGCACATGTGTAAAAAGAAAAAAGGAAAGAAAAATCAAAATAACACAGAAATATATAAAATAAAAAGTGAAAGCCTCCTTTCCTCAATATTTGTCGTTCCCATTGCTTCAAGAAACGTCATCAACAATCAACAGTTTGGAGGATCAACTTCCAGATCACACACAGTTGAAGTCTCCAAACCTTCTATACACACACATACAAAAATACATTTTTGCATTTGATAGTTTTCAGATCACTTGCGCATAAATATTTAAGACTGTTATTAGTGGATCACATGCTGTTATATTTATGTTTAAATTTAACATTATTAACATATTAACACGTTATATTTAACATGATAAGAAACTCCATAACTGTCATCCAAAGTAGCTGGACTATTTTGCATTCCACTAGCAATGAATCAGAACGTTTTCCCTCTCCTTGCTGTAACTTGGTATTGTCATTTCTAAAAATTTAGCCAGGGGCAGCCCTGGTGGTTCAGCGGTTTAGCGCCGCCTCAGCCCAGGGCGTGATCCAGGAGAAGCGGGATCGAGTCCCACGTCGGGCTCCCTGCATGGAGCCTGCTTCTCCCTCTGCCTGTGTCTCTGCCTCTCTTTCTGTCTCTGTGTCTCTCATGAATAAATAAATAAAATCTTAAAAAAATAAAAATAAACATTTAGCCATTCTAATAGTTGTGCATACCTTGTTATTTTAATTTGCATTCCCAATTATATATGATGTTGTGTATCTTTTCATAGTCTTAATTGCCATCTGTATATCTTCTTTAGCCAAGTATCTGTTCAGATCTTTTGCCCAGTAAACACTTTTTTAATTAAGATTTTATTTCTTTAGAGAAGTCTATTCACAGTAAAATTGAGGGAAAGATACAGAGATTTCTCATACCACCCCTTTCCCTACACATGCATAGGCCGCTTATCAACATCCCCCATCAGAGTGCTACATTTGTCACAAGTGATGAACCTACATTGACACATCTATATCACCCAAAGTGCACAGTTAACATTAGGATTCACTCTTGGTATTCTACATTTTATGGGTTTGGACAAATGCATAATGACATGTACCCATCATTATATAATCATACAGAGTATTTTAACCTCTTGACTGCTATAAAAATCCTTTCTGCCATGAATTTTGATATCTAATATTTCCATTCTTCAGTTAGTTATATATTTTCTTTTTTATAAAGATTTTATTTATTTATTCATGAAAGACACAGAAAAAGGCAGAGACCTAGGCAGAGGGAGAAGCAGGCTCCAGGCAGGGAGCCTGACATGGGACTCGATCCTGAGACCACGGATCACGCCCTGAGCCAGGGGCAGGTGCTCAACTGCTGAGCCACCCAGTCATCCTTAAGATATTTTCTAATTTACACTGTGACTTTTAAAATTTGACCTACAAAAAATAATAAAATAAAATAAAATAAAATAAAATAAAATAAAATAAAATTTGACCTACAGGTTACTTAAAAGTCTACAACATATTGTAGGGAGATTTTTCCAGTTTTCTCATTATTATTTTGTAAGTTTATTTCATTGTGGACAAACAAAGACAAACAAACAAACAAAACAGTATAATTGTAACTGTTTGAGACCTACCTTATGGCCCATAGTATCATCTATTATTTTGCACGCATAAAAAGGATATGACAAAATATATCTCTGTCTAGTAAAGATTCCTACACTTTCAGCATTTCTCTACTGACTTCAGAGCCTGAGATTTCCATACTAGTTCAAACTTTGGATTTAGGCAACACAGGGATCCTATTACCATGTAATCTGGCTATGGGTACTTTCACACATATAGTTTATCAGAATGGTTCGAATCCTCAACAGAGTTAACATGTGATGAGGAAATCAAGATATATCTAAGTAGAGCTGGTTGTTGAGAGTGGTTTCAGATCAAACTACCACTGAATGGGATCCCAGGTGACCATGGAAAGACCCTTGAAAAGGCGAGCCCTGAAAAGGGGGTACCTGTGCCCCTTTTGTGCTAGAAAAAGTCAACTTTGTATGTCATTAATATATCTATATTAATAACATAATTAATGTAGTATCAATAATATAATTAATATAATTATAATTAATATATCTATTAATGTACCTATCTGTTGTCTTTTGGATAGTATTTGCGTTGTATATTTCACCCTTTTACTTTCAGTTGTCCTATATTTTTACATTTAACTTGTGTTTTTTTTTAACTTGTGTTTTTTATAAATAGCAGTTATATTTTGTTTTTTAAACAGCTTAATAGGGATCCCTGGGTGGCGCAGCGGTTTGGCGCCCGCCTTGGGCCCAGGGCGCGATCCTGGAGACCCGGGATCGAATCCCACGTCAGGCTCCCAGTGCATGGAGCCTGCTTCTCCCTCTGCCTGTGTCTCTGCCTCTCTCTCTCTCTCTCTCTCTCTATGTGACTATCATAAATAAAAAAAAATTAAAAAAATAAAAATAAATAAAAATAAACAGCTTAATAATCTTTGTCATTTGATTAATGTGTTCAGTTCATTTACATTTAACATAATTGTTGATATACTTGAGTTTATTTTTTTAAAGATTTTATTTATTTATTCATGAGAGAGAGAGAGAGAGAGAGAGAGAGAGGCAGAGACCCAGGCAGAGGGAGAAACAAGTTCCATGCAGGAAGCCTGACGTGGGACTCGATCCTGGGTCTCCAGGATCACACCCTGGACTGAAGGTGGCGCTAAACCACTGAGCCACCCGGGCTACCCTGTACTTGAGTTTAATTCTATCATATCAATATTTGCTTTCTATTTGTTTTGCCCATTTTGCTACTTTTTTTTCTTGCTTTGTTTTGCAATGATTACGTAGTGTCTATTACTCCATTTCCTCCTTTGTTTACTTGATAATTATACATTGTTTTACTGGTTTTTAAAAAGGAGTTATTGTAGGGCTTACAATGTGTATCTTTGATTTATTAAATTATAATACAAATTAGAAAACTTATATTAACTCTATTTCTACTCCTTCCACAACTACTGATGTGTATTTTAATCAAAACACACATATCCCAAATGACATATTACTAT